GCAAGTGTGACTGGGCAAGGGGCTCAGGTTTGATTCCCGGGTCGGGCAAAGTATTACTGGGTTTTTTATTCTCATCTGTAGCACGGAGTTTGGAATTGTGCTCGGTATGTGGTAATAGGCTCACTCCCTATTACATGGGACTCATAATATAAATAGTGAAAAGTGGGTGTTACATTGTACAGTGGCATTTAGTGCCGTAGATGTATGACCAAGGTCTCTATTAAACCTGAACGTCACTACTATCTCAAATCCACCCGCTAAACGAGAAGTTCATGGTAAGCATCTATGAAGGTTCTATGAAAGTTATGAAGGCAAGAGCATCTATGAGCCTTCTGTACATCTCCTTAGATGTCATCTCTTGTGTGCCAAAATACCTACTGGTTGTTTGTAGACTAAACCGATTTTATTGTAACTGAGTTCTATGTAAATAAATCCAAAAAGAATTTATTTAATGTGTTACTTCCGACAATCCTGTAAAAACCTCAGTATAATTTTGCTGAAACTTTTATGAAGGTGTTAAGTTTAACTCATCATAATCAGGCAGATTTAAAGCTCACTGTTCACAGGCAGACGACATTACGCCAAAATTCCCAAAAGCCGTAACTAAAAATCAACTCGGTCGGTGTTGCAATTTGGAAAATGAATTCCAATGTTGCCATGGTACAGCATTAAGCTGAGTGACGACCTATTCACGCAAATGCGATGTATTACTTAACTTCACAATATGAGTTTGTTAAATTAAGATAAAATGTTTTACGTGATACTTTTTTTTTTTTCTCGAAACGTAACAGTTTTTTATTGCGTTTGTAGAAAATCCTATGAGAACTCTTAAAACTGAATAGTATATATATAAGACCTTCACAGTCAGGATCAAACTGTAGGAAAAATGAAAATTATCGTCTCTAAGTTCATATTAAAACTATCGTGAAACATACTGAGCGTAGAAGGAACTAGTGCGAGACATACAAGGAACTAGTTCTAAATTCGTTCATAACAGTCTTTGTGAGACTACAATATTTGACTGCACGGTGTTGTGCCCGTGCTGCGTGTCATATGTATATGTATGTTTCTAAACGCACTCATGACACAGGAGAAAATCAAAACGTGGGGGCAAAGTACGAAAAAAAAAGTATCTTCTAAGACAATCTTTTATGTCCCTATTACAACAGACACTATCATTGTCATTCGATACACAACATTCATAATTGGTTAACGCTAACCACCATTGTATCATCTCAAAGGATTAGTAATCCAGCTTATTGGATAAAGCCCCAAAACGCAACACCTTTCTTCCACGAGGGTAAGTTGCTATCTAGAACAGTCTTTATATACTTCTTTAAGTTAAAAAATATACAAAAATAATTAACCTGGTTTACAACAATACGTAATACGGATACTTAACAATGTACCTATTTAACTATAGCGTATCAACATCAGATAAAACATAAAGCTACATGAGAGGGAGGTTGTACCCTCATTATGAACGAAGATTGAAATGTAGGGCTGCCACTACAGAGCAATTGTTGTTTGAAAATATTGTAGCGATTTTTGTTTTGGTATTACATATTATTTTATGCCGCGACTTCTTCTGCGTGGAATAGTGAAGATTCACAGCTCCTCCCTCGTAGGTGATAGCGTGATAATATAATTATGTAACTAATAGTGTAATAGTAGACGCCTCATTGGCCGAATGGTGGTTACAAACAGACGAACAGACAAAAATATTAAACACTATTATTTGGCTTTAGTATCAATAGAAAATCAAGCCCTAAGTATTCTTTAAAAATGATTCAATGTACAGGTTTTGACTTTACTGTGATTTTATAATAATGTTCTATTTATAAAATACTAGGACTATATTATTGGTTCATCCTAAATTTATGGTTCATAATACGTGTAAAAAGAAAAGCGATAGCCACAACTATCCAGAAGTTATGAAATAAAATCACTTTCAACACTTTTTGCATCGTCTTTGACATTGTTACAAAAAAAATCTCCAGTTTCATGCTAATTTATAAGAGCCTATGAATATTAAATGTGTAACGTGAAATTTAACACCAAATAGCCACATCAATCTAACAATTTTATGAAGCCAACTGTCATACATTGACACATAAACTGGTAATAACTAGTATGTAATTAAAACTGATATTACTGTGCTTCCGTTCCCCAGATATCATGAGCATAACAATAAATTTATCTATTAATCCCAAAACATTAACTATAAAATACAAAGCGTGATCCGACAACCCTAACAAAGGGTTATAAATACAGGTATTTAAATTCGGCCATTCATTTCATCGCTCATCCCGTACAAAGCGCTTCATTATTCAATACGTGAATAAATCACTTTCATTGAAAGAATAAACGAATGATCACAATGTTTATAGATGAAAATACGGTAGCGTTTAGAGGGTTCCAACGAATTAATGTTTTCTATGACGACATTTGAAACTTTTTAAATTGTAAAAAAGAAAAAAGTATTCGCCACATTACAATTTAGGTACTTAACATCAGGCATTTAAATCACTGTAGGCAACATAAGAGCTGAACATATAGATACCATGATATATTTACTCATCAGATATATTTAGAGTCCCAACCTCCCATCCAATATAGTATATCATGCACCTTGCACCGGACATCATCACAATCATAATCACCATTCTATTATTGAGCAGTTTTCTAACACCCCCAGTAATATTTTCCGACTCTGGCAGCAAACCCAAAACCCATTTCCTCGATACTTGAAACAATACCAAACAGATACAGCCAACATTTACCCACTCGATTGCCAAAGAAGAAAAAAATAAAAAAAAACATTTCACCAACAACAAATAAAAAACAAAGAACCAGAAAACAAAAAAGAATATTGCAAACTACACCTTGAGTGCAGTTCAATTGATTTAGATGCTCTTAGAAAATATGCCAAGAAATATACTCGAAAGACACTTCATTTTCTTCGCTACAAAACTCAATTGTTTAGAAAGGAGGCTGCGATGCGATGGCGATAGTCTGTGGCACAATAGAGCCCGCTATGAATGCATTCTAATGAAATAAAGAAACGTTTTGTCCCGTACTGCATTGAGTCGAGACCTAAATACTGGTGAATGGGATCTATGCAAGCTATTCACTGCACTATCTGTTGATATCGCACATTTTTAACGTGTGAATACCAAGTTTATACATTTATGTCGATCTTACCTAATATTACAAGGTTTAAGTAATCACTGGAGTGATACTATGCCCACACAGAAAACTGATGTAAAACAAAGTTCCCATTATGTTTCGTTACGTCAATAAGGCATCAACGAAACGTAAAGTTAACAGAGTCCTCAAAAGGTCAGTTATTTACTAACAACTACCAGAAAGTTAAAGTTCGACGGTGCATTAATCTGCCGTCACCACTCAACACTGGCAGTATAGTCGACAACATCGTATTGGAGACTCGGTTGCCAAAAAAAAAGTCAGTTATGTATGTATTGAGTAGGTATTGATAGTTATGTATTGAGATATAAATGCATAACTGAGCTGACCTTTTGAGGACTAGGGCTATAGGGGTCTCTGGGTGTCGATGATTACTAAACTTGCTTAAGGTTAATTCTGAATCATCATCATTACCATCGTCATCATCATCAACAACAGCCGAAAGACGTCTACTGCTGGACAAAGGCCTCTTCCTTAAAGTTAGTCCTCACATCGAACGATAACTGGCCACCTGCATCCACTGGCTCCCCGCAACTTGTGTGCCCACGTTTCATCTTCCGGTCCGTGGTCTCCAATCAAGGACTTTCGTGGCCCATCTGCCCGCAGTCCGTCGAGCGACGTGGCCTCCGTCCGTCAAGCGAGGTGAACAGATTATCAATTTGGTTATTGTCCCAAAATTTCGTCTGCCCAGCTTACTTCCAAACCCATCTACGCAACTTTAAAGTAGGGCAAAGACTTCAAATACAATCTTACTTGTGGAAAACATTATTTTTGTTACGAAACCAATATAAACTTCACTTTTAAACTTCGTCTCGGTTCATCAACTTGGAGATGTAGGTATTTGAAAAATGAAATTTCAATTCTTTGCGTCGACGTTGAAGTGACTTCTTATTATTGAATAAACGAAGGAGGCGCGAACTCTGTGGCCGGAACCAGGTTGATGATGTAAAATTGTAAAGTATCTAACCGAAGTGTCGTTGGTCGGTTTCAAATGAATTGTCTTTATTGCACCGCACAAAAGACCTGAAGTTCGTTTCCTAGTTCAGAAAAAGTTATAATACCGGTAACCGCAACATATTGTTCTTTAATTGTGTCTATAATGACGGTACTCAAAGGGTTAAGTAGGTATTGAAGTGGGTACCTAACTAAGGATTACTCTATTTTCGATTATCAAAAAAAATGTTATCACACCTACTTACACATTTCCGATATTTGGGATTCACAATCACAACATAAGATTGAGAAAGTTATTACATTTCATGGAAAAATACTGCTACTCACTACTTTGGGGGAAAACAGGCGTGATGGTTCTGCTCACCCATTTTCCAATGTAAAATTGCGTTTCGTTATTGACTCCGGTAACAGTTTTGTTTCATAAATTATCTCAGTTAATAGTACTAAAACCAGCTTCAACTTATTCACGCACGTAAAAAAAATTTAAAATATCTAGTATTTGTCCAACTACATTTGTTTAAACTTTAACTACATAGCAATAGATTCTCGATATCTCGCGCACAATAGAATAACGAAACGTACTCATGACGGTATAGGAAGGAACTAACGTCACTGTCATGTTAAATTGTCATGAATTGTTTTCGTATTTTATATTGTGAAATCGTGAAATTAATTGGAAACTATTGTACAATATTTTGAACTTGTTTCAAAACCGTGTTATTCATAAAAACTTTGCCGTGTACGTGTGTAAATCTGACGTATAAATTTTGTAGTGCAAGTGCGTCATAATAGAATCGACAGTGATTTTTCTGTATTAGACGTAATTTTCCTTGTGAAGAATGGCTAATTCAGATTATGTTGCGACGTTGAAGATTCTAGTAATCGGGGAGAGTGGTGTGGGTAAATCAAGGTGAGAAAACTTCTTAAATGTAGTGAATAAAACCTTTGGTCAGTCCCGCCTATAGTCTAAAAAAAGTATTGAGTCATGATATCTGATTAAATTTTAATGAGAAATTCATAAACCTACACAAGTTGTAATAAGTTGTTCATATTTTAAAAATCATAAAAATAACAAAACAATTATAAAGTACAATCAACTTATCAGGCTTTGTACACTACATCCTTGACATGAAAAAAAATCAACAAGTATGCTAAAAAATAATTATCTGTGCTGTTCTATTGCGTAGTTTTGCAGATGTTAGCATTCATTGTTCATTGAATGTACTTAATGTGTAATCAGTTAGATTAGAATTACAAAGTTTTTTGTCTGAATGAAACGGAAATCATTGTAAATGTCACTGCTCTTCGAAAAGAATCAAAATACCCTGTTGATCTGATCTGATTGGTACACATTTGTGTAATCAGCAAACAGTATAGTAAACATAATATACCAACTGATGTATATTTAAACATTTATTTGTTTAATAATAGTTACAATGACACCCATTTACAGTAACTAGGTATATTTTGGGCTTCATTATTTATGTTTGAATAAAAATAATTGAATTGCAGATTGTAGGTAGTAATGTTCTACTTTATGTTATCTTAAATAAAAAGTTTTATTAATATACTGCCCTTTGACCTCGGCAATCTTTCTCTCTAATACACTATCACGTAATATATATTTTTAGACAAGGATTTTATAAATAACCTTAATATTTAATCTACAGTACTTTCTAGTTTCTAAACATGATAGTTAAGTCTCAATGCCAGTATCGGAAAAAAATTACTGAATAGCAGGGTTGGCAAAAATATAACATTTTTCATTCATTATCTGTTTCGTTTCATTATATGGTTTGTGTTTAATCTATGTTATCATACATAGATTAAACACAAACCATTCATACATAGAAACTCAGAAAAGTTATTCACATGATATTAGTAGAAACTGAAGAATTTGCAATTGCCTCTTGAGTTTACTAGTTGTGTGTATAAGTGACAAATATAAATCATACTTTTGATTCTGTTCCTGTATAAGGTCTCTCGATAATGAATTTATTTTTTCTTTGAATTTATTATACTTAAATATATAAAACTATTCCATTTATTCTTAATCTATATAGGTGATTTACTCAATTTTATATCTTAATAAGTAAAGGTTTGTATTAATAAAATTTATTTTTATTTTAGCATAATCCTAGCGTTCACAACGGGAGATTACAATGCATCATTCCCGGCCACAATTGGAGTTGACTATAAATGTAAGGTGATGGATGTGAACGGAGTCAAGGTTAAGCTTGGTATCTGGGACACTGCTGGACAGGAACGCTACCGGACATTGACCTCCAGTTTTTACAGGTAACAAAGATATTCTCTTTATTACTACGCTAGATATACCTAGTAATTTTTTATACTATTAAAATTCTCATAGTACTCCGGATGGTCAGTGGTTACCGCAGCCTATGAATGCTTGCAATACATGGGGCATTAGGCATTACATATACTTTGCATTACATTTCATTCATGTTGTCTATATTGTGCAATTATTTAAAAAAAATGTTGTTTTTCTACATTTATTCTATACTGACAGTATTAGTTACTGAAAATGCCCTGTGTATATGCAGACTTAATATAGTTTTAGCTTTTTAATCTAGTAGGACTGGCAATGGATCTTATATTCACTGTACTATGTGCTCAGTCTTAAGCACCTGTAATAATGAGTGTATCATTTTACTAGCTAGTACTTGTTAGTTACAATAAAAAATAATCTCTATAAATACATTTCTCCCTACAAAGATTTATTTTTGTTACAGAGATGCACATGGTGCTATTTTAGTTTACGATGTGTCTGAACCAAAATCCCTTGCAAAGTTGAATGAATGGGTTGAAGAACTGCAAGTATACTCCACAAAGAAGAACATAGTCTGCTTAGTAGTCGGAAACAAGATTGATAAAGTAAGTACTACATGTTGATTAACAACAATAATAATTATTATGCTCCCATCATTGATTTTTGGTTCGTTGTAATGGATTTCTGGTTTGAGAATACGTCTTACAAATGCTACTAGTCATCGATAGAATGAGCAACATCCTCTTTTCGGTGACGTAACTTTAATCCCCAAGCTGCTCGCCAACCTTGGGTATTATCGCTACTTCCTGCACCTCATCTCACCTCACCTCAACTCTTATGGGTATAAGAGTTGAGTTCATCCATGGTGAAAAGACTAAAAAGGGAAGGATGTCTTCTGAAAAGGTGATGGCCTCGTCGTCTTCCACTCAACTCATCTGCTTATAGTATAGATCTTAAAAGACTGTACAACTGGGTAAACGCAGGGAAATTTGTTCTAGATTCCATAAGGTCCGTATAATAAGCTACACCTGACGAAACAATTAAATTATTTAACATAGTGTTAGGTTCATACTGCCAGAGATCACGCTCCCAGAGTATGTGTTGGGCGGAATGCTCATATTGCAGCTCCGCTGTCGAACACTGGCACCATGGTGAATCAACAAGTTGTACAGTCTCTTTTTTGTGCCTTTAGGCTTAATTCACTCTGTCTCCTGCAGTAATTCATCGAGGGGGGTGGAAACTATCGTTTTTTTTTTCTTACTTATAATATCTTCTGATTCACTTCGTTGCGGGAACCAAGACAGTTATTCATGGTCTTCCGGTGTTTTCATGGTTGTATCTACTGTAGATTCTGGCTTACAGGAGTTGCAGTGGGTGCTTGTCCCTTAAAATAAAGTCTAGAACTGAACCAAAAAAAAGTATTATGACGTAATAATACTAGATTTTTGAAGGTAACCTTGACGTGATAGCAAAATATATACTGTCTGCGAAACTGTGTTCATTAAGTGTGACGCGACAATTACCTATGTCACTTTGCTATGACTTTTGTAACTATGTTAAGTCTAATTTTACTAAGTACATATTGTGTGTCTCGACCTGTGAATATTAGATTCCAAACTCTGACGTGACGTTTTATAATAAAGTCGAAAGTCAACTGAATTTTTTTACTGAATCTATTCAGTGACCTATGATCAAAGAACCAGCTTGAAGTCCAGGGTTACTCATTTTTTTCCTTATAACCTTATTCTATCAGTTATTTAAGTTATATTTTTCTCTAGCATAACCGCGCAGTACCACGGGAACAAGGACAGGCGTTTGCACAGAAACACAGAATGCTGTTCATCGAGAGCAGTGCTAAAACACAGGAGGGAATCAGCCTTGCTTTCGAGGAACTTGTGCAAAAGGTGAGTTAATAGTTATGTAAAAAGATATTGTCCAAAATTTGGTTCAAAAATCATTGAGTTGACATTACTACCTGATCTATTTAGCAAGAGCTTGGTGAGAAAGTCTTGTTCTTTTTCCGATAGATATGTGTTTTAATGACACGTTTTATGTCATACGTTTTACAAACAATAGATCTCTCAAAAAATCATTAGCAACGTGTGTAGCCTACAGGAAGAACCCCTCTGTGGTTCGAAACTAGTAGAGCTTTTCTCAGTTTTTTTACGCGAGTAACACGGGAATTTAGTCTATTTATTATGTTTCACAATAGTATAAAAAATAGTTATCTCATTCTTAAAACTAAAAATATCAAAATCTTCAACCAACCAACCTTCATGCAACTTCTTCCTATAACTGAGAATGCAAAATTAATACCTAATTGATTAATAATTAAACCTACCAATTATGTTCCAGTGATTATTTTAATCGATTAACAATTTTGCTCAGTAATTTTGTTCATTTCAAACATTCACATGTTCGTAATTATTATTAAACAGATACGGTTTTAGTTAAATTGAACACTAACGCCCAGAACGTAAAGTTACATTTACAAATATTAGGAATTTTAAAGTTTTGCTGATTTTTTACACACACATTGAGACTTGTTAAGATAATTTCAATAGTATAAGATTAGAAGTTAAATGAATTGTAATTGATAGAAGAAAATACCATAGCAGAAGCAGGTTGTGTGAGACATATTTAGTATACGAGCTAGCAACGTTTGGAGAACAAGAATTTTAGGTCGGTTGATATTTTTAACGCTGATGATTTCCTACACCCATATTTATCCAAATTTTAAACGAGGAGTTCACGTGATCCATATTTCTTAAATTCTTACTCGAAAACGTTGCTAGCTCTTATACCATTAGTATTAAACTGTCAAACACCAAGCGGTCACCGGTGACCGCGACCTATTGTTCTTTAATTGTGTCTATAAAACCGGTACTCGACGAGTTAAATAAAATTCTTACTTTCTTTTCGCTAGTTCATTTGTCACTTCAGAATTTACTTGCACTCAATGTTATTACTAAGAATTTAAGGAGGCTATATTTTTAAACCTTGAACATAATTTCCGTCTGTAGATCATAGAGACTCCAGGACTTTGGGAGTCAGGAGGCTCTTCATCAAACATCCGCATATCACACGACGAGAGGAGACAACAGGAGGAATCTTCATGTTACGACTACACCTGCACGATTTAGAATAAGCTGGGAGTTGGCTGCGTCTGAAGATTTTTCTACTATTTGTATCTATTTGACTGAGTGATGCATCAAGAAGGCTTATTACCTTGCATGCCGCAAGTACTAACGTTATTCGCCATGTCTTTCCGATTGCGTGACGTCACAGTTTGTAACTCCTTTTACGTACGAGCCGTACTGTAAGCGTATCATCACGTCTTATGACTATCGTAGTGACAATATACCTTCTGCATCTTGTACATACGATTCGCTGCAACATCACTCCATTAGCGAACTTGTGCTTGTTCGTTGTACTCTAGTTTTATCGGCGTATTTCTATACGCTTATAATACGACGTCGTGTGCAAAGAGATTAAATCGAAGTAAAATAAATATCACCCTGTAAATGCACCACTAATGGGTCACTTCTCACTTGGAGAAGATGAGCATGACTAAGTTTGTATGTATAATTCTGACGTGTTGTGAAACAAGTAATAGCACTATCTCTTTCTTGCACCAAAAGCTGTGATGAGTGGTAAAATAATCGTGTGTTCATATTAAATGGTTGCCGCTAAACGATTTTGTGTCGATATTCTAGTAGGTACTTACATACATAAAAGTATCAATTTATAAGGGGATTAAAAACAGCCAGTGATTTAATTGTAGAATATTTTCACTAAGCTAGCCTTGTAAAATGTATAGAAAATGTAAATTTATAGTTCGAAATAAATATTTTGTGATTAAATGTTACCGCTTAGACGAATTTTTATTTAGTGTGGGGAGAATTGAAGTGATCGGTGATTATAGAATTTGTATCAATAATGAAGTAGAAAGGTAGATCGTCTGGACTCTAGACATAGGTACTAAAACGTCACAGAAAATATCAAAATCCGAAGTCTTTAACCCGTCGAGCGTCCGCGTTCCTTATGGTCCAACGGGTGCACACGTGACATTTGGAGAAAGAAAGAAAGAAAATGCATTTATTTGGCCATTGGCACACAAAAACAAGGATCATTACAATAGAAATAAAAATACAGTCAAAATAAAAACAAAACATTAATAATAGATTTTATAAAAGAGAGTAGCATGGAGCATTTTTTCTTATGATCCACCGGGTGCTCATAAGGACGCTCGAAGGCGTCTTGTCTTGTCTGTGGATGTCTTGGACAAACTTTTTGGCTAGACCTCAAACTGTCGCGTCACTCACATAGGTGAGTGAATATGGTGATAATAATAGTATTATCACCATATTTACCATAGGTTACATCATAATTACTTCTGATTAGAATTCAATGTGAAGGACTTTGTTTACATTCGATTTGTCAAAAAGTTTGTCGATAACTATTCTAAAACGACCTGGAGCGCAATGGGGCCAAAATGGAAATACACTGAATCTTGTTGTATTTACTTTTTGCGTTAATTTTGTTAATTAAATAAATGCAATGTCATAAACACATACCTATACAAAACGTTTAAATATATTGTTTTACCGTTATGTTTTTATATTAATTTAGTTTCGTAGTAAATTTTACACAAAATATGTGCAATGTATGTGTGGTTACATAGGAAATATAATTTGTGTTTAACGTATAAGGTACCCTCATTTTTGGGCACCAAAAAGTACAATAAATGTAGTTTGTTTTTGAACCTCTTCTGACATGCACGTGTTTCTTGGCTGTATGGCGTAAAAAATAGTTTTATTTATATTTTTATTTATAAAAAATTGTTTGGTTTGATTGTTATGTGTTGGTTTTTATAAAAGATTTTCGTTGTAATCTTCAGATGTATGTCAACTAAGGTGATGTGATATCTCTTGTCTGCTTTTGTACATAGAATTAATAAAAGTGATTATTGTATGTTGTACACTATATTATTATGAATAAAATATTTCACAAAATTAGATAGTTTTATTAATTTTGGTCACAATCACAACTGGCCGTCTAATATTTCTAATCTTAATAGAAACAACTGAACGTTTCTATATTATAAATACATACATGTTTATACAAACAATATGTTTGACGAGAAACTCGACTAGTTTCAAGCCATACTAGAGGCTCATGTTCATGAGTGGCATTCCGAGACACACGTCGCGGCCAGAACAATAGCAGCCCGACAGTCGCCGCGACATGAGTTGCCTACAAAACATAACATAATAATCTTTCATTAGGCGAATTTTCGATTTTGGGTTTTCTCAAATTATAGCCTAAAACTTCTTCAGAAACTTTTTGTCGGGTCAGTTAGCCACTATGGAAGTAGCAGAATAATATCTGAAAAAAAATCTATTCATATTGTGGAAAATAAAAGCTTGCTATTTCAGTTGATAAAAATACTCTAACTTTTAGCATAGATTTTATAGAAATCCCTAAGATAGAACAACCCACATCCATCTCCATCGTTACAACCTCCCTACGCCTTTTATTTCGAACAACGTTCAGACGTCCAGAAACGCCCACGAGCTCTTCAAAAAGGGAAACGCGAAAGTATAACAACCAATTTATTTCTACCCACGGTAGAAAACACCATGCGAGTCATTATCACCGGGCTTTTATGGGGCAATTTCTCACTAACTCTCCTCAAAATGCCCGCACTTTTTGCCTTTACCCCGCTTTCGTATTATTGACGACCATTGTCCAGTTAAACCTGGCTGTTACTCAACTCCAGTTAAGTATAAAACTGGTGTTTATGATCGAAACTGGCTATGTGAATGTAGATTCTAACTTTATGAAACCTTTCTGCGGTTGGTGCTTAGTTAAGCTAGTAAAGCTAGCTTAACGAATGATGAAGCTATCGAACGTAAATATTTACTTTTATTCGTGGAAAATAATGCAGTTTGTATTTTAGTTTTGATTTTATTAAATTTTTTGCTTCGTTTAGATAAAAGTCACACCAATCCACTGTGTTTAATACTTTTTCTTGAGGGGGGAAATCATCCACTGACTTTTCCTGCCTTAGATATGGCGAGAGAGAGTGCGAGACTCTTACTGACCATTCCTGCACACCTCTGCAGGAACTACCCCGATCCTGCAGAGCAGAATAAACTGTTAGGTTGTTTGCAGTTCCGGGTCGGATATCAGCACTACTATCTGTATTTAATACCTACCTCCCATATCAAAATAACGGAACTAACTCCATAACTAACCTTTCAGTGAGTATTAGACATAATGATGTTAAAGAAACAATAATAAAATCTACAAAACTGATAATTACTATTTTCAGCTGAAAAACGCCCGCAGCAAACAAATACGTGTACTTTTTTTAAGACCTCAGGAAACAGTAAGTACCTTTTACCATATAGAGTTACCTACACACACAAACGTCTAGCATTACTAAGTGACCTCTTAGACAAATCACACCCGAAACTAACTACCTAATACGCTAAACCTATATAAAGGACCAAGACTACCTTACCTAGGTACATTGTCTACTACTAAAGGTACCTAGGTACATTCTAATCTCTTTACAGATCTACCAGATCTGTTCCCTAGAACTAACGTTATAATTATGTTCCCCAATCAATTGCGTACTTTATTTAATTACTCACACTTAGATGTCTGCTCCCACTCCTTAAAACTTTCACATTACGATCGCAAAGTTTTGTGTCTAAGTCTTTCTGAGAACCTAACTTAATAGTAGGGAGCTAATGACTTAGGTAGGTATTATTTTATTCTAAGTTTAGATACTTATTTAAGTGCTACAGGTAAGTTAGTCTGGTGGTTGAGTTGTAGTTACAATAAACTATGTAGTATGGAGTCGCGGAGAACCTAACGGGTTACCGGGGCTCCGGCTCGAAGTGCAGGAGAAGGAATGGGGTGGTTTTTAGTCTGTAAGAGTCTGACACTCCCTCCCGCCTCACCTAGACGGGAGAAGTCATTCGATGATTTTCACCCCTTTAAAAAAAACCTATGTAGTATAACATATCTATTATTTTTGGTACATAAAAATGACTTGTTTTTCACCAATTATGTTATGAGTTCCATGTAATGTGTGGTGTGGGAGGGCCATGCTTCGGCAGTTCGGCACGAAGGGGCCGGCTCGACCGGAGTGATGTCTCATAGAAAACCGACGTGAAGCAACGCTTGCGTTGTGTTTCGTCGTGTGAGTGAGGTTACTGGAGGCCCAATTACCTCCCCTTCCCCAATCTCCCCAATCCCTGAATTCCCAACGATCCTCAAACTCCTAATCCCCAAAAAGCCTCTAACGCCACTGGTGTTTCAGTTGTTCATGGGCGACGCCGATTGCTTACCATTAAAAGTAATAATCCTGGATACAATTTCCAACTCTATACCTATTGAAAATTTTCGAAAACTCCTAATAAATCCTGGACCGAGAGTCAAACCTAATAGCCCTTGCTCGACTAACAAGGCAGTAGCATACTTCATTACTATTAAAGAATTATAGTCAAACAACTATCTAAATCATTTCAACAAAGGCATTATGTGCTTGAAATACTTATCAATAGATAAGCTTGTCTAAGGAAATATCGTGAGCGCATTGTTTACTAGCCGGTACACTGCACCGATAATAGAGTGCCTATAGATTACCTGCTTATGTTAGCGAGCAATGTAATGCAAACTGTAATCAAGGCTAGATAGATTATTGGTTTCGTTAGAACGTCATATTTTGAAATGAATATATTTATGCAATTTTCACCCCAATTGACATAGAAACTAGTGTCTGGCAGTTAGATTTTCGTATGAGAGTCACCCTGTTCGCAGACAACAACGTTTCCAGACAAAATAAATATTTTGAAATAAAAAAGACACATTAAATAGAATTGTAAGTACCTACTTAACTAATATGGGCATCACAAAGTTTCAAATTGTTATCACTAATCATTTATTACGAGAGTTCGGTTTGAAAAGAAAATGAGCATTAAGACATAAATATACGAACTAGAATTGCGTAAAAACATGTAAGTATTTCTAATGGTAAATATTATTTTCTTGTGATTTTGTCGGAATATACGGCTCAATAATTTTGCCGTGGTCGTTCTTGCAACACCTTACGATAAACTAACTACAT